CCCTTCAGTCTTCTATCTGACCTCCGTCCTCCCCTTCAGTCTTCTATCTGACCTCCGTCCTCCCCTTCAGTCTTCTATCTGACCTCTGTCCTTCCCTTCAGTCTTCTATCTGACCTCCGTCCTCCCCTTCAGTCTTCTATCTGACCTCCGTCCTCCCCTTCAGTCTTCTATCTGACCTCCGTCCTCCCCTTCAGTCTTCTATCTGACCTCTGTCCTCCCCTTCAGTCTTCTATCTGACCTCCGTCCTCCCCTTCAGTCTTCTATCTGACCTCCGTCCTCCCCTCCAGTCTTATATCTGACCTCCGTCCTTCCCTTCAGTCTTCTATCTGACCTCTGTGTATTTAGATGTTTGCCTGGAGCTCAGCTTTAAGGTGTTCCAGCTGTTTGTACAAATACTTTTCCCTTCACTCCCCTGCCGCTCTGTTCGGCCACTAGATGTTCAGTTCCCGATTTAGTGACCATGTGACTCCCTTCCCTTTCCCACATATGATAGAAGTGGTGCTTGGTGATTGGCAGCTCAGGAACCCATTGCTCTCTCCTGGGGGTGTAAGCTCCAGCTCTTGGCAGGTTCTCTTTAAATAACCATAGAAAGTATTTGTACACTTTCTGGAGATCTGAGAAGCCTGCTTTCATTTATACTCCTTGCAGCGTGTTGGAAGAATGTGATTTATTTGTATTTTATTGTAAGTTTTGTTTGTTTTTCCCCATATATTATTTTAGAGAAAGAAGGCTGCTGCTGCCAGGAGCTCAGGAAGAGGGTGAGTGATCCACAGGGCTGCATCTGAAATGTCTGCCATAGTTATCACATTATACAGCGATCACTAGAAGGGTCCCCAGCAGGGGGAAGGAGGTCCTGATCCCTCTATATAGATCTTTATTATCACTAGAGGGACCCCCATCAGGAGGAAGGAGGTCCTGATCCCTCTATATAGATCTTTATTATCACTAGGGGGGTCCCCAGCAGGAGGAAGGAGGTCCTGATTGAACAAATACAGAGAGGCAACAATACTGTTAGATGGGCCACTTGGTCTTTTTCTGCCATCGCTCTGTCTCTAAGATTTCGGGGACGGGTTGTGTGATTGGGGACTGTAATGTCTACAAGACGTAAAAGCATTTTTCACACCGACGCCGTCAATTAAACTTGTAGAACAAGCGGAGGTGTGATGTTTGTTTTAACGTGCAGCACAAACCCGGATCTGTCTAGACTGCCGTTATCATCATCTGGTTCATCCTCCCACTCTCATGCAGGACGCTCTGCTCTGACTTGTCCCCGAAATTTCTGCTGGTTCTGCAGCTTGTGCGCTGTGCACACATCGGAGCGTGACGGCTGTTCTGTCACAACAGGAAGCTGCCATGTGAAGTCTTGTTGAAATTAAACTTGAATTGAAAATGAAGTGATGTCAAAGAGTAAAACAGTAGAAAGGCGTCACGGCACACTCACAAACCAGCATGTAAAACAACTTGTCTCACCACTAAGGACAATGACAGAGGTTTGGTTACACGTCTTCTGCAGAGGATGTGAAAGCCGCACTGCCGCGCCAAGGCACCTCTTATAGTGCGGTCCTAACTCTAAACTATGAGAGCCTCCATCTTGGAGCACATGGGGGCAGAAGATATCAAATTGGGTGCAGGCTTGTCAGGAGGACGCCCCACCTCCTTAACCCCTTCATGACTGAGGCCTTTTTTTCATTTTTTGTACCCATGTTATATTCCACATTTTAGGCCTGAAAATGACTTAAAACCCCCCAAACATTATATATTTTCTGAATGCCAAGACCCTATAGAATAAAATGGTGGTAGTTGCAAATTTTTATGTTGCGCAATATTAGCGCAACTCCTTATTAAACCCCAATATTTAGTGAAAAATTTAATTAAATGCCCCAAAACACAACAAAATACACGCACATCCAAATGGCAGCTGAGAAACCCCCCATGCGTCGCTGCACCAAATCGGTTAAGCAAAACAAATGACAAACGCACTCAACAATTTGTCACCAGTTATACAGTAAGGTGCACACGAAAATGCTGGTTTTACATGCTGGTTTGTGAGCGTGCCATGATACCTTTCTACTGTTTTTTACTTTTTAAAGCCCATTTCGTGTGCACCTTACTGTATAACTGGTGACAAATTGTTGAGTGCGTTTGTCATTTGTTTTGCGTGATGTCAAAGAGGACTTCAAGGAAAAAATCCTTCTCTCTGGACCTCCAATTATATGGCCAAATTAGTACTTCAAATGTCCTCGGCGTCGGTTGTAAATATCTTTTTATCTCAGACAACAAGCGCAGTATTGGCGCGCGCCCATCTAATGAGAGGCTGTAAGAGAAAATGTCTTAAAGCTCATCAGCAGGCAAATTCCCATCCCCCGGTAATTGATCACTGGTGTGACAAAAAATGAAAAGGCCATCTCGTTCATTGAGGGACGCAGCTCTAAATAATTCTGAGCGTTTGGGTTATGCTGCTGCCACTAGGAGAAATGGACACTAGGCAAACCTATTACAAAAGCCTTTCACTTTAAGGTCATCCAACCTCCAACCTGCCAGTTTCGCTCGGTGTCCTCAGGAAAATGGACGTCTCCTTCTTTTCCCGTTTTATTATTTTAGTTTATTTTGTTTCTTCGTTGAAGATTCTACGTGGAGCAGGTACCGGATAAGTGAAGTATCTCTAGTTGTCATAAAGCAGGTCGTTCCTGGTCTCGGTAGTTATGCTTCATCCTGCGGTGATCCGATGTTCTTATCTTCATCTTTAGGGCCCGTTCACACGACATCCGTTTTGTGTGCTGACCGGCTCCGTACGCTGCTGCACTTAAAATGCATCCCAATGTCTCCCTATGAGCTCCAATTATGCAAATGTGATCAACACCCGGTTGTGACTAACAGATTATGTGGATTGGAGCGACATTCACCATATTTATTCCCAGATCATTTTTGTACAAGTCATTCTGAATTGAGAAAGCCGGTCGGATGACCAGTGAAACGTCTGCAAGAAAAATACAGCGAGTCCAGTTGCCTTGACTTAATTTTTACAGATATACCATGTGACCTGGATGAATGAGAACCTTCACAGACAATAGATGAACAGCTCCTGTCCCTTGTGGCTTGGTACACAGAGCGTGTTCTCTCTGACAGGAAGTTTGGGGAAGCTGTGCTTAGGGATCTGGCATGGGCGATTTTTGCCAAACGATTTGGGTTTTTAGTAGGGATGCACCGATACCACTTTTTTAAGTACGAGTACCGATACTTTTGGTCAAGTACCAATTACCGATACTTTTTCTTAAAGGGACAGGTCACATTTTTTTCTAAAGCAATACAAACTAATGCTTTAAGGTCACTTTCTTAATATTATGATTCATGAGATGACGAGGGAGCACGACGCCGGCTTCCCGGCCAATCACAATGCCGGGCGCTGCGTCATTACACGGCGCCCGGCTTCTGGATTGGCCAGCTTCCTGACCAATCGGGAAGCCGGGCAGCGCGTCATTGCACGCTACCCAGCTTCCTGATTGGCCGGGAAGTCGGCTCCATGCTCTCTCATCACAAGTGACGAGGGAGCATGGAGCCGTTTCCTGGCCAATCGGGAAACCGGGCAGCGTGTAATGATGCGCTGCCCGACTTCCTGATACAGGAAGTACTCGTGCTAGGTATCGGAGCATTTGGGCGAGTACGAGTACTCACCCAAATACTCGGTATCGGTGCATCCCTAGTTTTTAGCAATGGAAATTCTTGCGGTCGTCTCTATGGTTTTCGGAGCGAAGTTTTTTATTGTTGTCTGTGTCTTCTGCTTGATGGTAACATTTCTGATCACTTCATGTCCCTGTAACACTTGTTATTGGAACAGGAAGTGAGGGAACATCCTCTGGCAGGAGGTGAAAGACATATTGTAGCCCCTTTTATAGTGTTAGATTTAGCTTGTAGTGTTGTAAACAATAGAGTTTTACTGTCATCGTCTTCTGTGCTACAATTGATTGTTGGTCGGCTTCTGTGCTTATTTTTGTTTTTGTTTTTTTGGGACAGGTTGAGAAACTGGAGCTGCTGCTTGAAAAGATGGTGCGCTAGAGCTCGAGGGGGTGAAGTCTCATCCACAAAATCTTTGTTTCCCGGAGCAACCTCTTATTTTTCTATCGCAGATTAAACCGCTCGTGTTCCTTAGGGTTAGTACAGCCGAGTGATACACAAATAAGATACATTTTTGGTAATAGTTCTTGAATGTGTTTTTTAAGATTTATCTCCTGAGTTTAGTGCCACAAAATTAACAAGAATGGTCATGTGACCGGAGCTGCCGATGTATCGTTGCTTTCATCGTTCATGAATAAGTCTTCATGATAAAATATACCTCCGGTTGGAGAGGTGCTGATCTGTAATGTTTATTAAATGTAGCCGTTTCCTTTGCTCTTCATTAAAATGTTCCCAGTATCTCCTGTTCTTTGGTTTTCTTTGTTTCTAGTCATTAACTTTGATTTGTCGAGTAGCTACAACCCAGCAGCCCTTCGGTGTACACAAAGCGGACTTATATCCTTTGTAGCCATTGAAGAATACATTCCATGGAAAGGTCAGCTGAGTGGAGGGGGTCCAAAGGTCAGCTGAGTGGAGGGGGTCCAAAGGTCAGCTGAGTGGAGGGGGTCCGAAGGTCAGCTGAGTGGAGGGGGTCCCGAGTTCAGCTTCAAGGTCAGCTGGGTGGAGGGGGGTCAGGAGTTAAGCTGTAAGGTCAGCTGGGTGGAGGGGGTCCCGAGTTCAGCTTCAAGGTCAGCTGGGTGGAGGGGGTCCGAAGGTCAGCTGGGTGGAGGGGGTCCGGAGTTCAGCTTCAAGGTCAGCTGGGTGGAGGGGGTCCTGAGTACATCTGTAAGGTCAGCTGGGTGGAGGGGGTCCCGAGTTCAGCTGGTTGGAGGGGGGTCAGGAGTTCAGCTTCAAGGTCAGCTGGGTGGAGGGGGTCCCGAGTTCAGCTGTAAGGTCAGCTGGGTGGAGGGGGTCCAGAGTTCAGCTGTAAGGTCAGCTGGGTGGAGGGGGTCCAGAGTTCAGCTGTAAGGTCAGCTGGGTGGAGGGAGTCTGGAGTTCATCTGTAAGGTCAGCTGGGTGGAGGGAGTCTGGAGTTAAGCTGTAAGGTCAGCTGGGTGGAGGGGGTCCCGAGTTCAGCTTCAAGGTCATCTGGGTGGAGGGGGTCCGAAGGTCAGCTGGGTGGAGGGGGTCCGGAGTTCAGCTTCAAGGTCAGCTGGGTGGAGGGGGTCCTGAGTACATCTGTAAGGTCAGCTGGGTGGAGGGGGTCCCGAGTTCAGCTGGTTGGAGGGGGGTCAGGAGTTCAGCTTCAAGGTCAGCTGGGTGGAGGGGGTCCCGAGTTCAGCTGTAAGGTCAGCTGGGTGGAGGGGGTCCAGAGTTCAGCTGTAAGGTCAGCTGGGTGGAGGGGGTCCAGAGTTCAGCTGTAAGGTCAGCTGGGTGGAGGGAGTCTGGAGTTCATCTGTAAGGTCAGCTGGGTGGAGGGAGTCTGGAGTTAAGCTGTAAGGTCAGCTGGGTGGAGGGGGTCCCGAGTTCAGCTTCAAGGTCATCTGGGTGGAGGGGGTCCGAAGGTCAGCTGGGTGGAGGGGGTCCGGAGTTCAGCTTCAAGGTCAGCTGGGTGGAGGGGGTCCTGAGTACATCTGTAAGGTCAGCTGGGTGGAGGGGGTCCCGAGTTCAGCTGGTTGGAGGGGGGTCAGGAGTTCAGCTTCAAGGTCAGCTGGGTGGAGGGGGTCCCGAGTTCAGCTGTAAGGTCAGCTGGGTGGAGGGGGTCCAGAGTTCAGCTGTAAGGTCAGCTGGGTGGAGGGGGTCCAGAGTTCAGCTGTAAGGTCAGCTGGGTGGAGGGAGTCTGGAGTTCATCTGTAAGGTCAGCTGGGTGGAGGGAGTCTGGAGTTAAGCTGTAAGGTCAGCTGGGTGGAGGGGGTCCCGAGTTCAGCTTCAAGGTCATCTGGGTGGAGGGGGTCCGAAGGTCAGCTGGGTGGAGGGGGTCCGGAGTTCAGCTTCAAGGTCAGCTGGGTGGAGGGGGTCCTGAGTACATCTGTAAGGTCAGCTGGGTGGAGGGGGTCCCGAGTTCAGCTGGTTGGAGGGGGGTCAGGAGTTCAGCTTCAAGGTCAGCTGGGTGGAGGGGGTCCCGAGTTCAGCTGTAAGGTCAGCTGGGTGGAGGGGGTCCAGAGTTCAGCTGTAAGGTCAGCTGGGTGGAGGGGGTCCAGAGTTCAGCTGTAAGGTCAGCTGGGTGGAGGGAGTCTGGAGTTCATCTGTAAGGTCAGCTGGGTGGAGGGAGTCTGGAGTTCATCTGTAAGGTCAGCTGGGTGGAGGGGGTCCCGAGTTCAGCTGGTTGGAGGGGGGTCAGGAGTTCAGCTTCAAGGTCAGCTGGGTGGAGGGGGTCCGGAGTTCAGCTTCAAGGTCAGCTGGGTGGAGGGGGTCCCGAGTTCAGCTTCAAGGTCAGCTGGGTGGAGGGAGTCCAGAGTCCAGCTTCAAGGTCAGCTGCGTGGTCCGCAGTTCAGCTTCAAGGTCAGCTGGGTGGAGGGGGTTCAGCTTCAAGGTCAGCTGGGTGGAGGGGTAACATTTAGTGGAGGGGGTCCGGAGTCCAGCTGTCGCCTGAATATATGAAGAAGATTCCTTATAAGATTCTGACTCTGGCATTCGAGTTCTCCTATCAGTCAGTCTTGTCCTATGTGACGCGTCTACAAGCTATATTATCGCCCCTGTGTTCCCCCTTCATATGTTTATATATGTCACACACATAAACAGGAGCGCAGTATAAATAAGTGAGCTGCCTCCGAGGTGGTCCAGGTGTTTCACATTATACATTTCATGCGGATACAATGGAAACTCATTTATCACCATAAACTCGGCACCGTCCATTTCTCCCGGTTGTGATCTTGTAATATACGTGTCCTGTCACAGCTTCTTTCTAACCTAGATCTGTATTTGTGCTCATGTTAAAGAACAACTCCAGCTGAACAGAAGATGACAATGAACAGCCAATTAAAAGGACACACCAGCTTCTGTTCCAATCCATTATTCCAGAGATTTCCCCCCGCAATACCTCTTTTCTGCCACTAGAGGGCTGGCACCGTTCAACCCGCTTCTGATGTCACTGCACACTCCTCATAATGCGCATTAGAAGCTGCAGCAGGTCAGATAGAGCCCGCCTCCTTTCCTGGCTGGAGGCTGTCCAGCATCACCTAGCGCTTTCCTCCCCAGCCTGACTGCCCTGGCCCCGCCTCTTTCATTCATTGGATTTCAGTTCTTTCAATCATGGAGGCTCAGCATCACATGGGGGTGTGTTACCATGCAAATGAAGCCTGCCTAGGAACGCCCACTCTTTCAGATTGACACGCCCATCAAGGCAATTTGATATTTGCATAACTCCTCCCATGAACCAGCCCACTGCTTGCATCATGTCTGAGGGCTCTTGAGAGGAGTACCGAGGCAGGGCACTGTGATATTTTCAGGCAGCTATGTACAGCACCCTGATGGCCCCTCCCACTGGCCATGAACTGCTTGCATTGCACAGAGACCCAGTGATGACTTTACTGGCTCTAAAATAAGGTAAGTAATGCAAATGGAAAGGTTTTATTTTAAAATGTCATTATCATGCTGGGGGAGGGGAGGACCCAAGGAGGGCAAAATGTAAACCAGATTGAACTCCGAGCAGTTTATTTCCGCAGAGCGCGGTGCAGGCATGTTACGTGTCGCTGAGTATTATTACTGTGACATTCCACCTATTGGGCGTGCACAGCTGGTTGGCTCTGTAGGAGTGTTTGTACTTATCAGTGTAATTAATCGCGTGATTTATCCTTCTGCCGTTTCCTCCGTCACGCCACAGTGAGCGACATTAAAGCGTCTGAGAAAATCCCGGCGGGTATGGCGGATTATCGGAGGCGCTCGAGGAAGCGGCTCCAAGCTCACGGAAATAATTGCTGTTTTTAGATCAACAAACAATACGCAGAAAATGGGCCAAAAAGGTATCTCAAAGGTTTAACTTCCTGCAGAACCAGCCGGTCCCCTGAGAACTGGCCCCTGACTTCGTGTTTTAAGGGGGGCTCCTTTCCCTTGCGGGGTCCTATGGAGCTGCCCTTGTGTGTGTTAGTAAGTTGTGTGTGTGTGTCTCTACAAATACACAGCAAGGCAAGACACTCCCCTGCTCCCTTCTCTTCCCTCCTTCCCTTCTTTATGCTAGTAGATGGATGGCTGTTGTCCCGTGTGATCGTGTACTGGACAGGAAGTTCAGGGAAGACGAGCTTAATGCTTCTTTAAAATAACACATAAAATTGATACAGAAACCGTTTTGTAATGTTATAGAAATAACTTTTCCATTTCAGTCTGTGACTGCTGGAATGTGATGTAGAAACCTGGAGACATTCTGCACTCCGTGTAAGGAACGCCCCTCCCCCCAATCTAATTTCCGGCTCCTGTGATTGGCTCTCAGACGTTTGCACTGAGATACAGGTAACATGTGAATCATCCTTTATAACAGAGATTTCATTTTTGGTGAGATTCTCCCTAAGGGACCTTTTACCCCATTTCACTAAAAATCACATAATTGAGCAGCTCTGAATACTGATATCAAATCATCTCACATTTATTAGTCAAATTAAAACTGTTTTTCTATCCCCTGGTTGGGTGAGGCACTGGTGATGAAGCCCTGGCCTGGTTGAGTGAGGCACTGGGGATGTAGGCCAGGCCTGGTTGAGTGAGGCACTGGGGATGAAGCCCTGGCCTGGTTGAGTGAGGCACTGGGGATGTAGGCCAGGCCTGGTTGGGTGAGGCACTGGGGATGTAGGCCAGGCCTGGTTGAGTGAAACACTGGTGATGTAGGCCAGGCCTGGTTGAGTGAGGCACTGGTGATGTAGCCCAGGTCTGGTTGAGAGTGCCATGGTGATGTAACCCTTGCCTAGTTGAGTGAGACACTAGTGATGTAACCCTGGCCTGGTATAGTGAGGTGCTGGTGATGCAGGTCTGGCCTGGTAGAATGAGGTGCTGGTGATGAAGGACTGGGATGAGTGGGCCACTGGTGATGAAGCCCTGACCTCACAGATGCATCATGGCAAGGCAACATCACCCGT